AGTGACCTGGATTACAGTCAGTCATCTAGGCTGTTTTCCTCTAGTTCACACAGATACGAGGACAAAGCAGAGAATGCAGTTTTAAACCTCCTTGTCCTGAGCTAGGTGAAAAGCTAGGCAGTATCTTGAGTGTGACTGATGTTGACCTTCCAAACCAGTGTGTTGAGGAGAAACAGCACTCTTCCCCTTTGCTTCACAAAATTACTTCTAACTGCACAATACTGATACTCAAAGTGTTTGGGTTAGTAGTCTATGCCAATAAATGGCACTTACCCATATATGACCTCTGAAATTCTGACCTCCATTGAATGAACTCCCCAAACCTGACCAGCTTACCAGGAAATTCATGGAGCAACCCAGCCTTCCTGTGTGCTTTGTGTAAAGTGTATCCTCATGCTTTCCCAAGACTTCCAGAAGCAGAACACACCCAAATGACTACAGAGAAAGCCTAGGCTCTTTGCCTCAGAGAGCCACAGGTGTCAACATCGATGCTTACACATGGGCAGGAGGAAACTTGATTGTAAGGGCCACCCTTTTTAAGTTTGTTAAAATATTTCAATTGTCCTATTCTAAAAAGCCCTCTACAGGTATAGACACTTGACAAATGTAAAAGGCAAGAGGAAGCTTTTAGAAGGTAGTATTTGGGGAGAGGAGGTATCTTGGAGGATAGGAAAAGATTTCTTAAACAGGATACATAAAGCACTTACAAAAGAAATAACTGATAAACAGGGCAACAATATAATTAACTTTTGTTCATCAAAGGAGCTTCAGAGTGGTAGAAGACATTTGTAAATCATATAACTGACATTGAGTTTGTATCTGGAACATTTAATGAACTCTTTCAAATCAATAAGAAAAAGACAAAACCCAGTAGGGAAAATGGACAAGAGATTTGGACAGGAATTCATGAAGTAAGTATCTAGTGGCCATTAGGAAATCATGGTGGCGCAGCAGTTAAGAGCTACGGCTGCTAACCAAAAGGTCAGCAGTTCAAATCCACCAGATGCTCCTTGGAAACCCTATGGGGCATTTCTACTCTGTCCTGTAGGGTTGCTGTGAGTCAGAATCAATTCGGAAGGCAACAGTTTTTTTTTGTTTTGTTTTTTGAGTGGCCATTAAACATGTGAAAAGTTGGTTAATCTAATTAATAATCAGGAAAATGCAAATTAAAACATCAATGATATACTACTACACACCCACCAGGACAGCTGAAATTAAAAAGACAGATAAGTATCAGTGAAGATATGGAGGAACAGGAACCCACATTCTGCTGATTAGATTGTAAATTGGTGAAACCAGTCTGGTATACTAAAATTGAAAATATACATGCATAAACGATGACCTAGAAATTCCACTCCTAAGTATAACGCCAATATAAATTTGTTACATGTGCATCAGAAGGCATGCACAAGCGTGGTTCCTTTTAAAAGGGAGGAACCACTTACTCATCAATGGCTAGTCCCAAACAGTGAAATGAATAAATTATAGAATATTTATGCAATGGAATACTGCACATCAGTGAAATTGGATGAGCTCCAGCTACATGCAACAACATGGCTGAATCTTAAAAATATTAAATTGAACAAAAGAAGCCAAATACAAAAGGATTCATCCTAACTAAATTTCATAGAAAAGTTTTAAAATGGACAAAGAATTCATATTGTATGTTTCTATTTATATAAAGTTCAAAAACAGGCAAAAGTGGTGCTTGGAGATTCATACTTAGGAGGTTAAGTAATAAAAAGGCAAGGAAGTAATTACTATAAAGTTGAGATAAGGGTTATTAATGGGCGAGGGAGGTGATGTGACTTAGAGTGTGCAGGGCTGGGGCTTCTGGGGAATGGCAATGGTCTATTTCTTGACCTGTGTGGCAGTTCTATAAATACTCATTTTGTAATAAGTTGTATATTGTTTTATGAGTCTTTCTGTATATTTCACACTGAGATATATATTAATATGTTATTATTATGTATTATAATTAAATATATTTATATATATTAATATTAATATATTATTTATGAATACATATATATTTAAAATAAAAAGCCCCTTCAACAACCTTGCCACCCCTGAGCTTGTTTGTCTCTTTCCCCCTCTCTTTTCTGCCGGACGAACGTCCTTTCTGCTCTCATTTTCTCTGGTCTCTTAACTCCCATTCATAACACAAACTACTCCCAACATGGGGATCGCAATAACCTCCTACTTGGCAAATCAAATAGATTTGTGGTCCTTGTGGCTTCTCTACCAGTCTTTGCTGTGGACCCGGTAGCTCTCTGTTCTCTTGGCTTCTCCAGCCCATTCCCTCTCTGGTTCTGCGTCTCTAACCATGGCCCTCTCCCTTCCATCCTCTGACTTCTCTGCCTTTCCCGCTCCTCACACACTGGTGTTTCTCTGGTATCCCTCCACGTGTCCTCGGCTCATCTCTGTACTAACAGCCTTCAAATTTATCTCCTGCATCTAAGCTCCAGCTACAAGTACTCTAGAAGCTTCCTACTTCATATCCACCATTATCTAAATGTTCAGAATCACCTTAATTTCAACCAACAGGCCTCAAATTGAACTCATTCTCTTCCTTGCGCCAACTCTATTCCTAGATTCCCTGTGTAAATAAAGGGAATCACTTCCAAGCCGACATCCCAAGCTAGAGATATTGACTCCTCACTCTTGGTAACCTGCCCTAGCACTAATAGCTACCATTATTATGTTCATATGGTGTGCCATGCAGTGTTTTTATTTTATTTATTTATATTGTACTTTAGATGAAGGTTTACAAAACAAATAGTTTCTCATTAAACAGTTAGTACACATATTGTTTTATGACAATGGTTAACAACCCCACGACATGTCAACACTGTCCCTTCTCAACCCTGGGTTCCCTATTACCAGCTTTCCTGTCCCCTCCTGCCTTCTAGTCCTTGTCCCTGGACTGTTGTGCCCATTAGTCTCCTTTTGTTTTATGGGCCTGTCTAATCTTTGGCTGAAGGGTGAACCTCAGGAGTGACTTCATTACTGAGCTACAAGGGTGTTTGGGGGCCATAATCTCAGAGTTTCTCCAGTCTCTGTCAGGCCAGTAAGTCTGGTCTTTTTTTGTGAGTGAGAATTTTGTTCTACCTTTTTCTCCAGCTCTGTCCAGGACCCTCTGTTGTGATCCTGGTCAGAGCAGTCAGTGGTGGTAGCCGGGCACCATCTAGCTGTACTGCACTCAGTCTGGTGGAGGCTGTGGTAGTTGTGGTCCATTAGTCCTCTGGACTAATCTTTTCCTTGTATCTAGTTTTCTTCATTCTCCCTGCTTCCGAACGGGTGAGACCAGTGGAGTATCTTAGATGGCTGCTCACAGGCTTTTAAGACCCCAGATGCTACTTACCAAGGTAGAATGTAGAACATTTTTTTTATAAACTGTGTTATGCCAATTGAGCTAGATGTTCCCTGAGACCATGGTCCCCACAGCCCTCTGCCCAGCAATTCAGTCCCTCAGGAAGTATGTATGTGTCTATGGCGCCTCCATGACCTTTCCTTGACCACACACTGTTTTACATATTAAAAATCCAAAAACCAAACCTGTTGCCGTTGAGTCAATTCTGACTCGTAGCGACCCTATAGGACAGAGTAGAACTGCCCCGTAGGGTTTCCAAGGAGCGGCTGGTAGATTCAAACTGTCGACCTTTTTGGTTAACAGCTGAGTTCTTAACCACTGCACCACCAGGGCTCCACACATATAAGCTCATTTAATTCTCCCAACCACCCCAAGTAAGTACTATTATTATCTTATCTTACAGAAAAGAAAACTGAAGTGTTTAATAAGTTGTCCCAGCAGTCTGGCTTCAGAGCCCTTGCTCGTACACCACTTATTTCTAAGTCCTGCTAATTTGACCACAGAGGTGCCTCTTACGGCTATTAGTGCCTCCACCCCAGCATCTATATCCACTGCCACTAACCTTGGTTGTTGTTGTTAGTTGCTCTCAGGTTGATTCCAACTCATGGCAACCCCACGTGTTGCAGAGTAGAATTGTTCCATAGGGTTTTCAAGGCCTATCAGAATCAGATCGCCAGGCCTGTCTTTTGAGGTTCCTCTGGGTGGGTTCAAACCGCCAACCTTCCTGCTAGTAGTCAAGTACTTAACCTGTAGCCTAGCTGGGATTATTATACTAACCTCCTAACTGGTGTCTCAACCACACACAAATCTCTCTCCTTTGTAGTCCACCTTCAATAGGGTCACCAGAGTGATCTTAAATTAAAAAATTATAATTTGATAGTCCCTCTACATTTTAATAGATTCTGTCTTTTCCTTAGTACACATAGAAACCATGTGATCAGGCACATTGCTGCCCCTACACTCTGCTCCCCACCTCCAAATCTGTTTGTGAGGTTTTGGTATCTGCTCCAGAGCTCTCGTGTCTGGACACCTAGGAACATCCCTGAGAAAAAAAAAACCCATCCCGGTAGCCCGTGGAATTTTCCCAGTGACAAGCCTCCTTCCAGCTTGGTGGCACCCAGCCCTGGGCTAAACAGCATTAATCACTCAGTGAGTTTTGGTTGATGATAACCTGAGACCGGTTTGCATAACTGGGTTGCTATGGGGCAGTCTCCAGGCCACCTGTCAGAAGCCATCAGACTGGGATTAGGAGGGAGGAACTGTGAGGCACCATCTCTGTCAGGGACCGGGTCCCTCCCCACCCCATACTTTTCCCTCTCCCTAGTTCCTTGTCTCAGAGAAGTTAAAGTCGCTGTGCAGGTAAATAGTGTACCCCGCCATGAGCCCAAAACAAAGTGTTTCTTAGAGACAGGGCAAAATCAGGATCAAAATAAGTCAGATTAAAAGAGACTTTTGAGGTTTCTCAACCCAAGACGAGTCCAAGAAGGAAAAGTAGGTTTAGACAATCCATTAAAAACCTTACGGCATTGCAATAATCCTGCTGTAAAGCTGCCAAGGGAGCAAGGAAAGAGCATGATTTCCATGTACTTAGTCTTAAAATAAACACAGATGAAACTTGGTCTCACCTGGAGAGCGCTGTTGCTGTAGCCCTCAGCTCCCGAGGCCTCCACGCCATGCAGCTCCAAGAACTCTTTGCTGCCAGTTGGGGTCATTCTTCTTCAGGATTCCCTCCAGATGTCTGTGAAAACGAGCACAGTGTCTGCTGATGTCAGAATGCCACCTGGCCCTTCTTCGGTTTGGAAGCTTTAGCAATCAACCACTGAGTGACTCGGGCAGACACCTGGCTAGGGCGGGGCAGGAGGCCGGGTGCGTGGAGGCTGCCAGTCAGCTAAGGTCAGCTCCAGTCAGCCCTGCCCACCTCATTAATCTTCCTCATTAGTCCCCACCGTTGGCTTTCCGTTTTCACTCCGGGGAGAACTCTTGTGGCGCACAATACAGAAAACGACATTCTCTACAGCCCTCTGAAAGAGTGTATTTCCTGTGGGTGGTGTTTGGGAATGCCCGTGGCAGGAAATATTGGCTGCTATTACGTGACCACATTACTCTGTACGCGGAGTCATGTGAGGTACTTCACATACCATGGTCTTGGTTTATCTTCAGAACAACCTTGTATTGTATTTGGGAAAACTGAGGGGCAAGAAAGATAAAGAATTTGCTCTGAGTCATTTAGGAAAATTGAAGGGCAAGAAAGGTAAGGAATTTGCTCTGAGTCATTTAGCTAATACAGGGGATATGAGAAGTAAAATTTAGGTCTGGTTGATTCTAAAACCCTTTTATTACCTCCCTGTCAGGAGACTGGAGCCTTCGTGGTGTACTGGTTAAGAGCTCAGCTGCTAACCAAAAGGTCGGCCGTTCAAATCCACCAGCCACTCCTTGGAAACCCTGTGGGGCAGCTCTACTCTGTCCTATAGGGTCGCTATGAGTCAGAATCGACTCGATGACAGTGGGTTTGGTTTTTTAGATCAGCACACCAGAGTCCCTGGGTAGCACCAACGGTTAAGCGCTTTGCTACTGACCAAAAAGTTTGCCTGGTGGTTTGAGTCCACCCAGAGGTGTCTTGAAAGAAAGTCCTGGTGATCTACATCTAAACAATCACAGCTACTGAAAACTGAATGAAGCACAGCTCTACTTTGACATGGGTTAGAATCAACGAGACTGCAACCAGTCTGGTTTTTTCGATTGGCAGGCCAGGATGCTTTTAAAAAATCCAACCCAGAAACGAAGATATACTGTAGATAAATGAAAGGTGACCTACTGCTCACTTAATAAAAGGATTCTCAGCTTTGTGAAATTAGCCGTAGGTTTCTTTCAAAATCAGGAGTTCCCCTAGTACATTTGACACGAAGTGTTCTATATCTATTAATTATAATTTTGTGGTCTGTGTAGAAGCATAGAAAATACTTATGGCAAGTGAAAAACCAGAATTAAAAAATGGAATACTGCATACAGTGAAGTAAAGACTGGAAGAAAATACCAAATATTGTTGCTGTTGTGTGCTCTTAAGTTGATTCCGACTCATAGCAACCCTACAGGACAAAGTAGAACTGCCCCAGAGGACTGTAATCTTTATGGGGGCAGAGTGCCAGGTCTTTTCTCCCTCAGAGATGCCGGGTGGGTTCAAACCCTTGACCTTTCGGTTAGTGGCCGAGTGCTTAACCATTGCACTACCAGGGCTCCTTTACCAAATATTCCATACCCATATCCATCAAGTCGATTCCAACTCATAGTGACCCTATAGGACAGAGTAGAACTGCCCCATAAACTTTCCAAACTCCCATCTTTATGGAAGCAGACTGCCACATCTTTCTCCCACAGAGCGGCTGATGGGTTCGAACCGCCAAACTTTTGGTTAGCAGGTGAGCACTTTAACCACTGTGCCACCAGGGCTCCTTATTATCATGATATAGGCTGCATACATATATGATGGTTAAAAGCCCACTGGAACCATACTGAGTTCAAATCCAAATTCTACCACTTGCTACAGGGGTCAACAAACTATAACTTGAGGGTACAAATCTAGCCTGTTTTTCTATGGCCTGTGAGCTAAGAATGGCTTTTCTGTTTTTTTTTCCTAAATTTTTGTTGTTGTTGTTGAGAATATACACAGCAAAACACACACCAAATCAACAATTTCTACGTGTACAATTCAACAACATTGAATACATCCTTCATTTGTGCAACCATGCTCACCCTCCTTTTCTGAGTTCTTCCTCCCTCATTAACATAAACTCACTGTCTTCTAAGGTTCCTATCTAATCTTTGAAGTTGCTGTTGTCAATTGGATCCCATATAGATAGTTCTTAAAAGAGCATACTGCTCAAGGCAGACCTTTCTTCACTGCATAAGCTAAACTATTGTTTGATTTTAAGATGACTTCAGGGGGTATTTTTGGTTTAAGGTTTAAAGATTATCTCAGATGGTTTTTCCATTTTTAAAACGGGTGAAAAAAATAAAAAGGAAGACTATTTCATGAAGTGAAAATTATGTGAAATTCAAATTTCAGTGTTCATAAATCATTTTTATTGGAATGTAAACATGCCCATTCATTTACGTATTGTCTGTCTGTGGCTGCTTTCACTCCACAGTGGCAGAGATGAATGGTTGCAAATGAAACCGTATGGCTCACTCTATAGCATTCACTACCTGGCCCTTTATAGAAAGTGTGCTGGAACCAGATATAAAATTTATGAACTCAAGACTCAATCTAGTTTAAGGTTATGAAAGATCGTTACTCTCTAGAGGAAAAGAAAAATCTTCATTCTGCCGTTTTTGGTTATCATTACAGAAACTTGACTCAAATGCCTAACATCCTTGAAGGTATATATATGAACCTTTTAAGATCAAATGACAACACGATGTGTTTTCTTCCCCTTGGCTGTAGATAAGTTTGGAAAGAGTGCAAACATATTTGAGAGCACATGGAGCACATGATTGTGCAACCAAGGAAGCAGCACCGTGTGGGTTTAAAAGACACAGTGACCTGCCCTTTCCATTTTCCAACTACAACAGCTAAAAGGAGTAATGGAAACCTAAGTAGAATAAATGGCACATATAACCATGATATTAAAATGCAAAATAAGTTGGTCATATGCAAAGACATTTTAACTTAAAATGTATATATTTGAAGCCTATGTTATACGATAGAACTGAGTTTTTCTTTGCTGTAATCTTTACAAAAGCAGATCACCAGGCCTCTCACTTATCATGGTATAGGCTGAATATATACGATGATGATGGGTGGGTTCGAACCACCAACCTTTCTGTTAGCAGCTAAGCACAAACTGTGTGTGCCACCCAAGGACCTTTTGAAGACTATAGTTAAGAGCTTTTAGAACTAATGAAAATTCAGCCACTTTACTTGCAGCATTAGAATTAATTTAACCTATGGGGCTATCACTTAAGATGATGGCACCTTGGTAGAAGCTATGGCACATTTTGCCCAATTTGGAAATAAAAATTGTGATCAGAAAACGAAGTGAAAGGACCTTTCGACTGTACAAGACCACATTGTAAACCATTCTCCAGTATGTAATAATGTAGAATCATTTGTAAGGAATAACTATGTCAAGGCGTAAGAAATTGTCTCTTTTAACTCTGACTCCTCTGAGCTAGTGTATTACACTGTCCTGCAAACTCAGTTTTAAAGGTTGAAACCATGGTTTAGCAATCGAATTGCTGGGGAAGGGGTGGAGGACATTTTAGCCAAATGATTCTTATATCCTATTCCATTCCCCAAGAGCTGGCTTATAAATCCATGAGAACTCAAAGTACTGTATATGCCCAAGCTGATTAAACAAACAAAAACCCTCCGTATATATTAAGCATATGAAAGTAAAAAAATGTTAAACACATGGTAATAGATTATTTTTCTCGCCTTATGCATGTAGTTCTGTAGTGAGGCCACTCTGTTTCTTTTGGTGGTAACCTGTTGCCTTCGAGTCGATTCCGACTCATTGTGACCATATAGTGACCCTACAGGACAGGGTAGAACTACCCTATAGGGTTCCCATGTAGTGGTTGATGGATTTGAACTGTGGACCTATTGGTTAGCAGCTGTAGCTTGCCGTAGCTCTTAACCACTGCGCCACCAGGGCTCCTCTTTTGGTGAAAGTGTTTCCAAAAGGAGTAAAATGAGTCTTTTAAAATTGTGTTAAGAGAATGAAAAGACAGGCCACAGACAAGAAGAAAATATTTGCAAATCACATATCTGATAAATAATTTGTATTTAAAATATGCAAAGAACTCTTACAACTCAGCAATAAGATAACAAACACCCCAGGTCTGGACATCTTCACTAAATTGTACATGTAGAAACTTTTGAAATGGTGTAACTTTGGCTATGTATATTTTCACCAAAAAAAAAAAGTCCTCTAAGGTTGAGAAGGGAGAGTGTTGACATGTTGTGGTTTTGTTAACCAATGTCATAAAACGATATGTGTACTGACTCATGAGAAACCATTTGTTCTGTAAACCTTTATCTAAAGTACAATAAAAAAATTAAATAAAAAAGATCTGGATATCTTATCAAAGAAGATATACAGGTAGCAAATAAAATATGCATTTGAGAAATGTTCAACATCATATGTCATTAGAATGGCTAAAATTCAAAATGCTGACATCACCAGATGCTGTTGAGGATGTGGGGCAACAGGAACTTTCATCCATACAATGAAATATTATTCAGCAATAAGGATAAATGCACTATCAAACTACGAAAAGACATGGAGGAATCTTAAATGTGTATCGTTAAGTGAAAGAAGCCAGTTTGGAAAGACTGCATACTGTATGATTCCTCTTATATGATATGCTAGAAAAGGTAAAACCCTAGGGATAGTAAAAAGATCAGTGATTGCCAAGGGTTGGAAATTAGAGGGAAGGATGAATAGGTGGAGAACAGAGGATTTTTAGGGCAGTGAAACTATTCTGCACGATACTGTAACGGTGGATTGTGGTGCAGTGAATTACTTAATAATATGGCCCTTCTAGCCATGATCTTTGTAACTTCCACCAAAAGACTGGGTGAGGACTATGGAAATGAGGTGCTTGTGGCCAACCAAGGAGATTCGATAGCTTGCTAATAATGTAAATAAGGTACACAGCACCCTGGTAGGGGTGCAACTACACAAATAAGGTGTATGGAATGCTAACAAGGGGATTGGTCAGTTTTGCCATCCTGCTAAGCTTAAAACAGCAGTCAATCCCAG